ATGGTCCTCTGCTGATGCGACCTAGATACAACACGTTGTATATGAGGGGCAATGTCAACATTCATTGGAAACCTGATGAGGGTACCTTCAAGCTCAGTGGCAGTTATGGTGTTTGAATTTGAACTTTGTTGTTTTGAAGGAGTTCGGTTTTTCGTTTATCTCATCAATAGCCATTGATTTCCGTCGCTGGTTAGATGTATCTGCTACTTTCCTAACAAACATACGCCGTGTATACAACGGTAATTAACATTCAAGTACTTATTCCAACATTACTTCTCAGATGATAACAAGTTGCTGATGTCTCAGTCCTCAAAGTTCTTGTAGCGACGGGTTTTGTACGATGCGGTCCGGAAATGATCGAAATGGGACATCATGGCATGCTCTAGAGCCACTGTATTATATCCCAAGCACCGGAGTAAATACCAGCCCTTGGCATTAAGTACTGTTGGAGCACCTTTAAGCCGAGTACCAGGCCATAGACCCACGTGAGATTGTTTGCCAAACGCTTCCGCCGCAAGTCAGGCACAACAACGCTGTTCAGCACTACTCCTGCTTCCCGTCAGTATGAACGGCGTGAGGCGCTTTCTCGGCGCGGCAACCACCACAATACAGGATACGCCGCCACCGCCACCACCAATCGATACCAATGGCCTACCACCATTAAAATCTAGTCCGACGTGGCCGCCGCAGTCTCCGACATCGACGAACGGAGTTGCCTCACCCTTCGGAAGCCCAAAGATGACGACGGCAGGCCTCTTTCTTAGAAAGGACAGGCAGAAACAGCCACCTCCCACAGCGGACGATGATACTCCACTAAAATCATCGCTTCGGTCGTCGAACGTTTCAACCAGCTCGCTCATTCTTTCCAACGGAAAGTTATCAACTTCTCCGGTTGGACCCTCACCCCCTCGAGCAGGTCCCTCCCGGATCGTCACCCGAAAGTCTGTGAAACCAGCGTCGATGGACTCGGAATACAAGCGATCGTCGAGCAGACTCAACAATCGAGATGAGTTATTGCTCAGTTTGTTGGCCAGTGACGCTGTCGTGGACAGCAGGGAGTTTGAGATCCTCGGTTTCGAAGAAGTAGATGAACTGAAGAAGGTGCGTCGTCATGCCATGCATTATGAACATCCGTGTAACAACGTGTAGGAATACCAAGTCCTCATGTCTCGACTCGGCGCCATGGAGAAAAAGCTCACTCTGGAAACGAAGATCCGGGATGCTGCAGTCTCTTTGTCTAAGGTCAATCAATCCAACAAGAAGATGTCGAAGCAAACCGAAGAACAGCTTGAGTCCGCTAATCGCCGCGTTGATATTGCACAGAAAGAATTATGGCGGGTTTCCGAGCGAGTAAACGAGATAAATAAGCGATTACTGGAACACCGTGCAGGAGTTCTCAGCTATTCTGTCCGTAGCATGGAGAAAAAAATGTCTCCGTCGTCCATAAACGGCCACACCCCTCCAAATCATCGAGACTCTGGCTACGAGACCCCGAACAGAAGCCTCTCGCTCAGCCCAACAGCGACATCCATCACAGACTCTCCTTTCTCCAAGTTTGATGGCGCTCATTTTTTCGCGGGTCACGCAGATGCTATCGTGCCGACGCGTCAACGTTCTCCGGATTCTGCTGCCCGAGAAATCCTTTCCTTAGAGGAGAAGCTCTTGGCCGCAACCGATTCGCTGAAAGCTGCAGGACAAAAGCAGGCAGAGATGGCGAAAGAGCTGTCCCATTTAAAGTTTGAGAAGGAACAAGTCGAGACGATGATGGACATAGAGCTGCAGAACGCTCAGGACACCATTTCCGCTTTGGAGCAGGAGATGCCCAAGATCGAATCTCTGGAAAATGAGTTTCAGGATCTGTTGGAGGAGAAGAGAGACTGGGAACGTGAGCGGGAGGAGCGGTACCAGCAGCTATCTGCTTTGCAAGATGAGTTGGAGGCACTCGAGTTGTCCAATGCTCAGGCTGCAGGAAACGAGTCGACGTTGGCGCAAGCACGAGAGGCATCGCAACAGCTGTTGGAAGACAAGAACGCCGAGCTGCGGCAGTTACAGGAAGAGTGGGAGCAGGACCGATTGACTTGGGAAAATGAGCGCGCGCGTTTAGAGGACGAGAAGTTGGAGGACCTGGCACGACTGCAGGAGGAGATGGACAGAGTACGGGAAGAAGATGTTTCTCTATTACAAAAGGCGACCGAAAGCCTTGAGGAAGGGCAAACTCTGATCCAAGCGCTCGTTCACAAACACTCCGTGCCTTTATTCTCTCGCGAGCTGTCTTTGAGGGCTCTCCTGTCTTCGGTGGATCTTTACCTTGAGAGAGTAGGCTCTAAACCAGATTTAGGTATGGAGTTGGAGGAAACGAGGAAGAAGCTTGACGAAGAAGTGTTGAGACGCGAAGCTCTTCTTCACGACCTCGAGGAAGCCCGACGTGAGCGAGAAGATGCCAGGAAGGAGGCTCGTATAGTTGCTCAGAAAATGAAGGTATGTATCCCGTGTTCATTCGAGCTATTGTGTTTTTGATGGCTCTTTAGGAGCAAATGGAGTCGGGCAATGGTACAATTCACTCCCCGGTTACGCCGACCCCCAATTTTCCGACCGAATTCAAAGGCGATGCAGCCAAGATTGTCGCCATCCTCCAACCTATCTGGGCTATGCTTCCTTCCCCCGAAGCTCGCGCCGCTAAATTCAACATTCAACGGCAGTTCCGGACTGGATCACCGACGGCATCAGCTCCTTCCAGTCCTAGCAGTCTGGGTCACAACAACGCCGCCAAATCTCTCTCAGATCTGGATGTGCGGTCCCTCAAGTCCCTCTATGACCTACGTTTAGGTGCAAGTTCATCCTCTAATCCCGGTACATTCACAGTGGAGGCTTTTGCTGCCCGGGTACAAGCGCTGGTGGCGGATGATAAGTCGCTCATTGAACGCCTGCTTCGGTTCGCCCAGGCGCATGAGCTCCTGAAGAAGAACGCCGACCGTGCTCAGAAGCTGGCGCAGGAGGGCAGTACTGCTTTAGAGACGTATCAAAAGCAGGTGCGGATGTTGGAGGACAGGAATATGACCATGATGGCCAGATACGCTGGGCTGTAAGTGCTCCAGGTCGTATCAAACCTGTCCTGTCGTTACTCATATTTATTATATAGGGAGGATGAAATGCATCGACTACAAGACAGCGTGGATATGATCACGGGGCAGAAGCTGGAGATTGAAATGCAGGCGGCTGAGCAGGCTGAAACGTGCCGGCAACTTACCGAGGCCAACAACACGTTAAGTGCTCGAGCGTTGACTTTGGCTGAAGAAGCGGCGTCTGCTCCGGAAGCTATCAAGAAACAGCTGGAGGCTCAACTTGCCGAATCCCGTGCAGCATTGAAGGCCGCACATGAACAACTCGACGCCATCATCTTGTCGGAGCAAAATCAAAAGGCCGCACTATTGGATGAGCTGAATGCGATGCAGACGGAGAATGGTCAACTCAGAGCGCAGCTTCGGGCAGTGAAGAAATAGTCGGTCCTGTCATGGATTCAAATTGGATACCCCCTCACATTTTTATTCCCTTTGCAAACTCTAATCTTATTTCTACTGATTGTAGAGTGTATGTATATGTACGATAATATATCGTGTAAAGCCGAGAGCCTGGGGACACTGCCGATGTTGTAGAACAAAGTTCAAGTTTTGCTTGAACTTTGTGGAAACTCTTCCCTCGAAAGGGAATTTTGGCTTTTTGCGTCTGGTACTACGCATCCGATACGGATTCGCTGGTTCCGCCTGTTGGACCACAAAGACGTCTGGTGTAAACCAGGCCTGCAGCCCTTGACTAGGAGTTTCACGAACTCAAACAAGGATAATCGTTGAAATTACTTAGAGTAGAACTGGTGGATGAAAATGACGAAGACCAATGGGCCAGTGGTGTACTAGATTTAAATGTCTCCTGGTGATATCACGTTTGGAGGGCCATCGTGGGCTTTCTCAACGCGTCCCATTTGCAGGATTCAACATCTTTATGCTAAACCTACATAAAGCTCAGACGCGCTTCAACTCCCAGTTAGCAGCCTTCATAGGTGCAAAGACATCGGGACGAGCGTAGACAACTCTCCAGAGTCATTGAAGAGAGAGGAGTCTTACTGATAACTTGAAGACGAGGCAAGTATCTAGCAAGGTTAAATCTGTTCCTGAGCCATGCCACAAACCTGTTGCGTAGGGTTTCAATCATTTCAGTCCTGCCAGCTTTTCCGTGCGCTATGTAACTGTTGCCGTAAATCCCACGAATTGGAGAAAAAATTGGAATGAATGAGACTGGGATTGGACGAGTAGCTTCGATCTTCGACGTCCTTCCGTTTGCATAACTCGCAATCTCGTATATTCCTTCGTAAGCTAGGAGTACGGGCGACCACGCATCGAGCCGGGATGGAATCGGCTTCTTTGTCAACTTTGAGCAGAGGGTCAAAGTTGTCGAGGTTTAGACTCTTCTCTCTCTCTCTCTCTCTCTCTCTCCTTTTCAAGCTCTGGACGGGCAGCTTCTTCCGCCTTCTTAGCCGGATCCTCGGCGGCTTTGTCTGCGCGGATTTGAAACATCTTGGTCTTTTGAATTTCTTGCTGGCTGAGCTGGGCGATGGCTTCGTCATTGGACAGATTATTGGCAGATTTCAGAGCATCTCGGACGAAAGTATAATCGGCTGCCGAGAAATCATGGCACGAGATTCAGTGATTATGAGACGTGGTGGGGGTTCGGGTTCGGGTGACATTTGTATGGACTAGTATTAGCGAAGCGAAGTCTAGTACAAGGAGTCGCAAATTTAGAGATTGGTGATAGCTTAAGAGAGGGGTTTACGCTTCGAGTTTTGTCTTGAGGTGAGATGGAAAATGGGAAGGAAAAGGACTGATTAGTAACTGATCATTCAGTCGTAGAGACTTCATTCGTGCCTCATACATTCTCAGAACGTCCGTCGTCACGAAATTCACGTGATTTGTTCATTTATAGTAAATTGATAGGTCACACTTATCGTTGGCTCAATGGTCTAGTAGTATGATTCGCGCTTCGGGGTTGTTCCCAGTGATTATGAAATCACTTAAATGTGCGAGGTCCCGAGTTCAACTCTCGGTTGAGCCCTTTTGCTCTAATTTCCGATTTTCAGAACGCTACGTTGTGGGTAACAGTTGCCAGTGTTGTTCTGTCGACCGAGGATGCAACTTGAACCCAATGGCCATGATCGGTGATCGATCATATCTTTTAATGTTTGCTGGTGTTTTTTCCTTGAGTTACCGGAGCGCAACGGTACAGACTCTACAATAGGTGTCTTTAATAAACACTTCAGCATCCTCAAATTTCCCTGAGACTTCTTGCTGTCCATTTACAGGCTCCTGGCTGCATTGGCAGGACCTCTGGCGAACTAGGCAACCCACCCTCGCCTTGGCGAGAACTGAGTTGAGCACTAGTTGAGCACTGCTGTTTTGTTTAGGCTAAGGCAGGTGCTACCAATTTGATAATTACAACATTTCAACAGCACCGCACCGTCTGACGATATCTACTTCAACCTATACGGTCCCACTGGCAGACCAAAAATCAAAATAAAACTGTTTACCGGTTGGGATTTTCAACTTCCCTTAGTCCTCAGACACGGAAAGGCCGATGCCAAGCGGCCGTTGTTATCCACCGTTGCATCCCACCCCTTCAAATCTTTTTAGCACCGGCCGTCGGCAATATGGATGGTGGTGCCCTTTGCACAGACGACGTACCTTCCTTCTCCGATTCCGATAGGTGCGTTGTCGTAATTCTTGCGACTCAATGCTTGTCAATATTCTCAACTCCAGATGATGCAGGGTCCTTCAACTACGTCTAATAGTGATAACCACAATTAGCCACATGACAATGACCTTGAGACGTCTTGTCGATGTTTCTTTTCAGCGCCATAACTTCTCTCGAAGGGCATGTCCTGTAGCCGAAACTGCCAGTGAACAAGACAGCTAGGTAATGAGCACGGACGCAACTTGACAGCAATATCCGGACGTAGATTTCAATAGTGTCACCCATCTTGCCGGGCCTATAGCATGCTATTATCCCTCCTTATTTGTTTCCTGCGTTATTGTATTTACTACCTCTAAAGCTCGACAAGTTGGAATACAACATCCGGTCATTATTGGGGCAGCAACCTGGTGGGAGCACCATATCACACCCGTTGGAAGATTTGCGACCAACGGATAAACTTGAAATGGGTCGTCGAAATATTGACTCTATGAGGGCTTTACACAATACGGAAAAATCCCCCCAATACTATCTGTATTTGGGCAGGTCCCCCGTTAGCTTCTTCGACGACCGCTACCACTCGCATCGCTATCCTTCCATCCAGTTTCAAATCCCCGACATGGTTACGATTTTTACACAGCCAACATGCCCTCTCTTACCAACACCCACCCGACCAACCCCGGCTTCTGGCGTGGAAAAAAAACCGGATACGCTTCACTGGCAGGCAAGTATTCAAAGACAATTATGGAACTAGCCCATACATATGACTCCCGCTGCCTTCAATGAGACTAGTACAGCAGTTCTTGATGTATCACCTTTTTCAGCATTCGTAACAGCATGTCCCCAGGCCGTCTGTTTCTGCTGAATTCATGATCAATGAATCTGTCACAAGCATTAAGATTCATGGTACGGTCGAGATCCTTTGCGGTAATGTAAAGAGTGCCTGTGGCTCTGGCGGGAGACCGACAACTTGACTTCGTATACGTTGCGGCGCTAACGCGAAACCTGCCACCTCCGTTTTCATGCCGAACCATCAATCTGATTTTTACAATCAGTTTTCAGCTGGGGATTTGAAACAAGATGAACTTGACAAGAACGGGCGAGGCGTCTATAATTTCGTCATTCTTATTATGGAAGTCTCACCGTCCTCCCAACTGAGTGAATTGCATTAGAAGGCCAACAGGTTTACATACATTTGCCCTGGCACGCGGCCGCAGCATAAAATACCGCTTTCGATCGAAGGCCCGGGATATTATACTACACAAGAGATCGACAATAGCAAATAATTCCCATGTGCTGCATTCTCATGTTCCTCTATTACTACACTGGGGGCACCAAGCGTTAATGTTGGGTGCTGAAACGTTAAAGTCAATGGATCTGAGTCGTCGGACAGCGAACAAAATCCTACAATATTGCTGTGGATATTGATGGCTAGTGACACGTAAGTCTTTGTGAAATCGATAGACAAAAAGAACTGACTACTGCCAACAAGTCTGGCTGCACTTGGGAGGCTTGCAAGTCTTTGGGTGCACCGTGCTGAATTTACAATTGACGAGGTCGCATTTAATCTGGTCCACGTTTTACTATGACTCCTGCATACCATGATGATCATCTTACCTCTTCGTCGGGCTCGATGATCGTCGAAGGGTGAGCCTTGCATAAGCCGTATTAGGAAGTTAGAATGCCCGTACCAAAGTTACGCCGTGGCCACAGCTAACAAGCCAGTTAGCCTCCAGGATAGTGAGTAAGAACGAGTAGTGCTGACCGCGTGTAGACGTTTCGGACCCTAAGATGAACGAGCCGATGTAAGTATTCGCCTGCTGAGCAAGGATGGTGAAACTCACTGTCGATAAAGGCACATTTGGAGAGACAGGAGGATACCACTCCAGCTCTAAGGTTCTTCTGCTTTATAGGATGCAGGATCCGGCCAACCCGTCCCCTGCGATCAGTCGAAGAAGAGGCATCACAAGTGTATTCTGAGTTTTGGGCAAGAATTGTGTGGCCCTGGGATCACATTTCGCAATACCAAAACGAAGTCAGTTCGATTCTCCGCGTAAACCCGCTATGTTGTCTATCGCTACTTCCTAGTCGCTAGGCAAGGAATTGAAGTGTGATAGTACCCATTCCGTACCAAGTAATTCACTACAAGCACTCTGTCACTGATAAACGCATAGATGTGCCGGAACCACATCACAGTAAAACAAGACAAGATACCGATCCATTCCAGATAGAAGTGTGCGATAGTCTGACCAGATGCACGGGAGAAGACAGTTCGAAATCGACCGAACTATCGGACATGAATGTTGTAGAACGCACCGGCTACCCAATGGCGAGATGCGATCACCTCGTTTAATGCACTTTTGCATATATCTTCTCATCAATTACAAGTATCCATAGAAATTCTTGAAGGTCACACCTACTACAACTCTAGCGAGCCGAGGAAGCCCGAAGACGGGTCTCTCAGATGTGCAAAGTGTGCAGTTCGCCGCTGTTTGGGGCTATTCGTGAGAGAAGACGGCCGTTCCGAAAGTCTGAAAAACATTCAGCAACATGTACGATCAATCGTTCGTTCCTTATCGGATTCAATCTAACCTTGTATCGCAGATGCCCGAACCTTATGAGCGTGTTACGTCCCCCTAAATTTAGGTTTTTCAGGCTGGACGCCTGCTTTGACCTTGACCGGGCACTTCAATTAGGCTGCTGCCTCAAGAAGTATAGTTGCCCAACGATCGGAAGCCTCTGGTGTATCAAAGTCCATACAGATGACTTGGATAGCCTACCGAACGCTTCGATGCCGTAGTGTTGGCGACATGAGGATGCAACTGGAAGACCGTTAGTAGTATCACATAGGCATGTGGATAGAAAACTTAGCCGGATCCATTCTACAGGCTCGTACACACATATGCAGCTGGAATCAACATCTAGAAAAAAACAGCTCCAGCTGTCAATAGATATTGAGTCCTTGATTGGTGGAACCAAACGGCGTTTGCTGTGTGATCTGCCATGCTTTTGATTAGATCCTGAGCAATGTATACTAGGCCCTTACCTCGGCAATATGAAGACTTCTACATCTTCGTGAAGGGTGCTTAGAGTCCATGCCCTGTATCTACAAAAAGTTCCACCAATCGCTGAGCCCCATAGTTAACGAGAAACCAGATGCCTTTGGCACGGATCCCCTTTGACGCCAAGTTCCAAGCATATTCTGATCCACCCGTAAGTGCTGTAAATGAACTTGCGGCTATCGGGCGTTGGACCATACAGCTCAGCAGTAGCACCCGTCAAACCGTCGTTTTCTTGCTTACTCCACTGCGAAATCACGGTGCTTAGAATCCTCCTTGAGATCAGCCACCTTCCGAATAGAAAAGAATTGAATGTCGCGAATCATGCAATACGCCAAATATCAAGATGTGTTCCTGGAAATAGATATTCATTGAAGATGGTGTACGCCTATGTCGATCCATACGGATTGGATCTTTCCGCCAGCTTTGGAAACGCATTCGTATTAGAGAGTACAACCATTCGCTTTTCGTGGCTGATGTACCCTTTCATGAAACCTTTGTATATCATGTTTGCGACTAGGCACTCCGCTTCCTCTTCTTCAACGTCAATATCTGAGATCTTGAGCGAGGAGTAGAACATAGATATAGGAACTCGTGATCCTTTTTGAGAAGCGACCCATCTACAGTAATAAAAAAAACAATCGAAAAAGGCATCCGGAAGGCGATTGAGCTAGCTTACACTCTTCTGAATAGGCCCCGTAGACATAGTTCTCTAGCCTTTTCGAGCGTTATCCATAGGTTAAGATCCAGGAGTGTCTTTTCGTGGTGGTCGAGTGCTCTATCGTAGCCGGATACATCACCGGTACGGATAGCAGTTAAAAATGGATGATAGAGTTCCTTAAGTGTAGGGAATCGATCCATTAGTTCTTGTGACGGAAGGTGGCCTTTCAAGATACGCAATGGGAGGAGATAGGTCAGGATGCGCCTGTAAACTGTCAAGCTGGGAATGAGACAAGGAGAAGGGGGTCGCACTCTTGGTTGCTCTGGGCTCTAGTGTGGCATTGGTAGAAAGCAAGGGTCAGTTCTTCCTCGGACTGCAGAATGTTATCTGAGATACTGAGTAGACACATCACCATGAACACATACCTTTGCATAGTCTTCATTCAAAAAACTCAGCATTCCAATGTAATATCGATAGGTGACCTTGCAAGACATTAACTAGGACAATAGATCGAGGAAAAGAATCATACTTGATGCGACCGAGGATACAACTGCAGTGGGGGGATGTCGGAGTTCGCTTCAAGAGCCCGCAAGATACTCTTTGACAGGGATATTCGTTTGACCTGTGATCAAAACCACTGACGATCG